AATTTCCCTTGACATATAGGCCTCTCGAAATCAATCTCCATGTCAGTATCACCAGCATTCATATTATTGATATCTGAGTTCTTGAAAGAATAACGAAAGAGAAGATATACATACATATATACATATGGGAGAAACTTATCCCATATAAATAAATAGAAAGAAATAATACATACATATTTATCAAAGAATGAAAAAATGCATGGGAGAATGTTTGCCATTTTGAATTAATAAGAATGCATATTTTATTGAAAGTAAGCAAAAACAAACAACTTAACCCTTTATATAAAATCACTTATTGCCCCATGGTATGAACAATAGGGAAATGTTCTAGTGCATTACTCTGTAAAAGACTTGTAAACTACAGGCAGTTCGTCCACGGTCCAATTGTTCAGCATGAATCCCGGTGGTACAGGGTAAATGCCCGTAGCTCTCATTTCTTCAAATTCATCATATGTTATAACATTAATGCCTAGATCTCCCGAGGAATTCTCAACCATCATTTCCTTGTTCCTCAGATTCCCTTGAAGCATATGCCCTCCTGATACGAAAGTGCTACTCAACGTTGGAAAGGTCATGGGTTTCCAGCTAAGGTCTTCACCAGCCAATCTTGTCTTTCTCATTTCCTGACTATTTTTAATGCCTCTCAGCTTTTCTCTTAAAGTTGGCTGATACCCCAAACCAAATCGATCCCTTTTAGTAATATGGAAAATTATATTCATCGGTCCTTACAATTGACTTCCTAACACTTTTCCAACTTTCTCTCCTCTTTCGAGGGTCAATTTGAGTTCCATTTTAGTGTAGTTTGACAATCTAGGCTTTGGTATCCTTTTCATTCAGCTACAAATGTGGCATTGACAAATTCTAATGATATGAAAGAACATTCAACAGCTTGCTCCTCCACTTCAATATACGGAGTAGTAGTAGAAACAGAAGCAATGATGTCCTCTTCAGCATGAATACATACCAGCCTTCCATCAATTACAAAGTTTAGCCTTTGGTGCAATGTCGATGGAACTGCACCGGCCTGATTAATCCAAGGCCTCCCCAACAAGTAGTTATAAGTAGTCATAATGTCCATCACGAAAAACTCCACTTCATAAGTTGTTGGACCAATAGTTAGAGGAATATAAATCTTGCCTAACACTTTTCTTTTAGTCCCATAAAAAGCTCGAACCACACTCTAACAGTTTCTCATAAGTGTACTATCCACTGGTAGTTTCTTCAGAGTCACCAAGGGCATTACATTTAAAGCTGAACCATTATCAACCAATACTCTGGACAGAACGTTCCCTTTATACCTAACTGTGATGTGCAGAGCCTTATGATTGCCAATCATCCCAGAAGGTATCTCATCATCGAAAAAAGAGAGAAAGTTATCAGCTTGTATGTTTGTAACTAATCGGTCCAACTTTTCTATGGGCAACTCTTTCGGAAGAAAGGTCTGGTTCAAAACTTTTAACAAGGCAATTCGATGGGCCTCTAAACTCAAAAGAAGTGATAAGACAAATATACGAGTAGACAACTTTTGTAGTTGCTCAACAATGTTTTACTCACTGTGTTTCAGAAACTTTAGGAATTTCACTACTTCGTTCTCAGTTACAGGTTCATTAATGACGGGCTCATCTTCTTTTATCTGCACATCAACTTTTTCCCTTTATCACCAGTAACCCTCTTCTCAGTCTCTTTAGGTTGGTTAAGAGAATAACACCTGCCACTTCTGGTAAAGTGTCACACCACACATATTTCCTCACTTTCTTTTGCTGACTATCCCATCTAACAATCATACCTCCAGGGCACCTGTTTATTATCTTTGTATGGAAATGGAGATGGAGGTGTGATAACCATATTCGAAGCTACCTTTTCTGTCGTTCGAGTCTTTAGAGTAATGATTAGGGGACAACTAGCATTATAGAACCCTTTAGACAATCCTTCAGAAGCACAAATTTACGCCTCCTCTTCTTCTACAACTTCTTTAAAGAACTCAATTTCTTTATTATCCATCGTACCAACTCTAAGAAATCAAGACACCGTTGTATATTATGTCCTTCACAGTTATGATAATGGCATACCTCTTCACTATTAAATAGTTCAGATGATGGATTAGGACTCAACAATCTTACCTTAATCATTTGGCACCACACCCAATACATGGATGATTCCACCTCCCAAACATTCTTTATAATTTTTCTTCCTTTCTCCTCAGTAATTATGTTAATCCCTGCTCCTGCATGATTCGGCAATGGATTTTGGGCTACATTCGGTTGTTCACTGTCACCAAAATTGATGACATTATTCTTTCTCAGGTGTTGGACAACCTTTTTAGATGCAATACAATTCTCGATAGAATGTCCATGAGTTCTCGCATGGTACTCATATTAAGCATTAGCATCGTACCATTTTGGATTAGGATGTTGCAGTGGTGACACATGATAAGGTGAAACTACGTGTCCGTAATATAATATTTGAAAAAGTTCCTTATAAGTCATCGCAATCGGATCAAATTGAGGCCTCTCTCTATATTCCCTTGCCCCTTGTCTATTGGTATTTTGTTTTGATGACCCTGTTCCCTGAGGTCGAGACATTGTGATATTATTAGAGTCATACTACCTCACATTCTTGACATCATCTTTTTCCTCATCTGTGGTTTCTTGTTAGACTCCCCTCCTTAAAGATTTCCACTTTTGACTGCCATTTCAATCATTTCACCCGCCATGACCATATCAATAAAACTTTGATAAGAATTACTTATAAGGTGTGTGAAAAAAGGAGCTCTTAGGGTATTGACGAAAAGTATATTTGTCTTCTCCTCTTCTAGTGGTGGATGGACTTGCACAGCCATGTCTCTCCATCTTTGAGCATATTGTCTAAAACTCTCATTTGACTTCTTTTCCATGCCTTGTAACATCATTCTGTTAAGCCTAACATCCTTCATATGTTTATACTGCTCGAGAAAGGATTTAGCCAGGTCTTTCCACGACCTAATATTAGCTCTACTCAGTTGATTATACCATTAGATTGCTGAACCGATCATGCTTTCCTGGAAGCAGTGTATCAATAACTGATCATCCCTTACGTATCCATTCATCTTCCTACAAAACATCGTAATTTGAGAAAATGGACACCTAGTACCATCAAATTTCTCAAAGTCAGGAATATTGAACTTCGAGGGAAAAACCAAATCAGGAACTAGACTCAATTTTTTAGCATCAAGTCCACACACACTGGTATCTTCTTTCATAGCTCTGATTTCTCCTCCTAATTTTTTCCATTTTTCCTCCAATTGCTTGTTTTGGTCTTTCTTAGCTTCTTCATCAAGGTCTGGAACCTGGTGATATTGAAGTTCTTCAGGATATGAACTAGATCCAGGATATAAGTTCGTAGAGGCACCAACTTGATTGATGTGTAATTTTCCCGTATTAACAGGCGTTTCTTGAACATTCTGAGATTGCGCTGGGGTAAACCCTAGGGGGTAAAGTGGTCCCTCAGTTATAGTTTCGGGCACACGGCTTTTTCCATTTTTAGGATTTCTTCCTTCCAACAGACTTGCAAACCTAGCAAACATTTCTTTCTGAGCATTCCTCATGTCTTCTTGCATCTTCCTTATAATCTCTTACAACTCTAGCTGAGTTCTCTCAATTTGAGTGATTTTGTCATCCATGGCTTTCTTTATGGTGTTATAAGGATGCTTGGAAGTTTCCAGTATTATGTCACACAATCATTTTTGTTAATGTTGATATTTTATTAATAAATATGAAATACATGTCTATAAATGAATAAAATGTGGTGATGCATTGCAAAAAATAAAAATACATATGCAAAATGAATGGTGTTGATCCTGTAATAACTCCTTAGAACAACTTTTTATATTAGAAATGAAGTTCAATTACAAGGTTGGAACATATCATAGATAAATCTGCATTATTTCTCCTATATGTTGTATATGTGCCAGCAACTCCATAATCCTCTAGTTTTCTTCAGCCTCGGTCTCCATTTCTTCACTTACAGCAACAACTTCATGAGATAGGTTGACTAAATATTGAGCTATTCCTTGAGCATGTTCTAGGTAGCGATCAATGAGGTCATCTCTTTGTTTAACTCTCGCCTGAGCTTTCTCCCACCGGTAACGCCACTGCATAACCCCCCTCGTAAGGAACTATCAGGAGCTCATTTGCTCGCATCTGAAAATCCTAAACCATAGCCTCAAGATCATTCACTCATTTCTTCAAACTTTCAACCTCTCCACGGCTTGAGCAACCGTCCCAGCTTCGGTATCATCGTAATGCAGCTTTTAAACTCGAAATCTTCCCTTTCAGCTTCTCATTTTGGGCTTGATTCTCTTGTAATCGTTGCTCTAAAGAACTCTTTTCTTTCGATAAAATCTTGACTTGATGCCTATTTTGCTTGAGCTCTTCTTTACTCTCTCTAGCTTATCTCTTGAGGCTCGCCAATTCTTGTCTCCATTCAACAGGTGATTTACTTGAACTGGAAGTTGTATGAGCTTTCACCATTCACTGGTACGATAGTTGAAGATCATCGAAGTTGCTTCTCCACTTTTTCAATTTGATCAGCTCGACCCTTCTGAATATCAATCTCCAGCTCTTTTTGATATACTTCATCTTTTAATTTTTTCAAAGTCACTCTCCATTGTTTCCTTTCGGCCTCAAAGTCACGCTTACATAGCTCCAACCGAGATGGCACCACTCTCAGATGTTCTTCCATAGGCTAAACATTTTCATGATTAACCATCGGGACATTGTCATTTACTCGTTTGCTTCTCCATTGTTCGTACTCCTGAGATAACTCGAGATCATATGTGAAGAGATTCACACGACGAGTCTGTTTCCATGCCTCAACAACCCTCTTGACTTTACCGTATATTGTTCTCCTTTGAATGCAAAATCTGACCTTGACAAATCCCATGTTGCTGGAATGAATTGCCTTGACCCACACTGTCTAGAAACTAGCAGAGGTACATACCCGACAGAACCCCAGATACCTGGAAAAGAAACCCAGTCTCGCTCTACAGATCTGTAAAGTATATCTAAAGAGACATTCCATGAAGCTCGCCATAAGATATCACCATCTCTGATATCCTTAAAGATAACCATCCATTTTTCTTCGGTGAAACCCCCAGGCCATTCTTTGGAAAGAAAATCCTTAAAAGGCGAAAACCCATCCAGAAACACTCGTCCTGGTTCCCTTTCAACGTGCTTGAAGTGAGTAAGAATCCATACTAACAGTAAGAGAGCACACCCTATAAATCGTAATTCTTCTTTGCGTCTACAAGAACTCAAAGAATGAAATATATCGGCTAAATAACTGGAACCGGATCCAGATGCTTGTCTAATCTCTCAAATAAGTCTACAACTGATACGTCTACATATCCCAGCACATTCAGAAAAATAACAAGCTCATAAATCCCTAAAGCAAACAAATCAAGCTTCTTCATCTTTTCTGGATGAGGATCAATTACTTCTTTTAGAGCAATCCAAGAGATATACTCACTGTCTCCTTTCTTCTTGATGTTTCTAACAACCTATTCTTCGCTCATTACAGTCATCAAGAGTAATTTCTTTTTGAATGAATGAGTGATTGGCAGTTTGGTGTATATTCTGTCTATTTGAGATCTCATACAACGGATCAAATCTCGATATTCCTCTATAGTAGGTGTCAGATCCACTATTCCAAAATTAAAGCATCTGTAAGAGGGATTCCAAAATTGTGCCAAGGCTCTAAACAGATTTCGGTCAATTTGAACATCCAGGATATAAGAGATATCGCCATACAACTGATAAAACAACTGTTTATCGACTGCTTTCCATCTTTCCCAAACTTATTTTAGCTCGCTCAGATCATTCTGACGTACATTGATATGAGTGTAACCATACAACTCTAACACATATCCTGGCATCAAACTATCTCCATTGGTCAGCTGAGATTGTAAAGACCATCTCAGAAAATATGCATTGTCTTCAACCTCTTTTTGAACCTTTCGTTCTATATTACTAGCCTTCTATATGGACATCGATCATGAATCAACACCATGTAATGGATAGTGCAATGTAAAAATAAAATAAAGAAAAGACAAAAGAGAATCTTTAGTAAACATAGAGAAATCAATCAAGGATAATAATTTGTTAATGAATCCTACCCTCAAATGCTGGCTAACCAATCATGCTTTATCAGGTCCTACCCAAACATGATATCTATCCCCATGCTTTATTTGAACATTAAAAAACCTAACCTCGTGCTATCTAGTTCGCATGCTTATTCGAGAAAAATAAACCTAACCGCATGATTTCTAGTTCACATACATTTATTCGAAAAATGAAATTAAATGAATCACAAAGCTTTTCCTTGTGTACCCTCCTCACGAGACTCTTAAGGTTCGGGTTAGGCTCTACTTAGGTTCGGGTTCTAGGTTCACTATATTCTGGGTTCAGCTCTAGAGAAACATGTTCTCGAATTGTCCTTGTTGGTGCCCCCTTGGGCTGTCGAACCCTCAATCCTTGCCCATCATAGGCTTTTAGGGATCGAGTTCAATTCGAGGGAATAAACCTCCTTATGTCCATGAGGAGGTGAATATCATCACGAGGCCCATAAGGCGTGAGCTCTAGGAGCGATCCACTATCGCATGCAGAGGTGAAAACCACACGATGGAGTAGTTTCTCACTCCTACTTAAATAGGACATAGTAGGATTTTAGCTCATGTTATGATAATACAACAGTGCAATGTGTGAGAAAAAACGAAAAACACACAATCACAAAACACTCAAATCAATTCCCAAATCCTTTTAAAACACACAATTAATCTGAAACCATTAGCAAACAGATCAGTACAACTATTTAGTTGTTAATAGAATTACAAATAAAAATACAAACAAAACATATTTAAAAAAAAAACAATGGATCAAAAACCAAATTAGAACGAACTTGTATCTTTCATTTGCAAAGACAATTAACTAATCGACTATCGGCCTGACTCTCTCAAAAAAAAAGTCCCCAACAGAGTCGCCAAGCTGTCGAAACGATTTTTTTTGCTTAAAGTGAGAAGTGAGATTTAAAAAAAACACACCATTTTTAATTTATTTCTTTGGGTTAATTTTTAATTAAAAAGTAACGTGATTTAAAAAATCTATCGTTTCGAAAAATTTGGGATTCCTTTTAAAAATAAAGCGTATGGTTCGAGAAGTCGCCACCAATCTTTGATTAGGGTGTGATTGGGCACCCAAAAACGGTTTTGTCATTTGAATAAAATATATTAATTTTAATTAAAACAACAAATTTGAGGTTTGCATAACCAAAAATCGAGTTCGAGAGTCGGTTACGCATGAGGAAGGATTAGTACCCCCACAGGAACATAAATCGGTACCTAATCGATTAATCAATATCTTTGCAATGAAATTTATAAATTCGACTCTAATTTGATTTGTGATCCCATAAAACAACAAAATATGAATTTTATAATGAAATATAATAATATTAAATTATTTCCTATCGAGAAGAAACAAAACCCTCATAACTTGAGGTAATCAATTCTTACTCCAATCGAAATAAAGAAATATTATAATTCCATTATAACATTCAAATGTACCAAAATAGATTAAATTAAAATTACCAAACCTTTTTAGAAATATGAAGAATATTCGATTATTTAAAAACATCGAGATCATATCTTAGATAAGTTCTAACAATCTTTTCTCGAAACATTTAAATAACCGAACATTTCTTTTTCTTTCGTTCCCAAATTTTAAGTGATGAATCATTTTATTTTTTTTAGGTGTCATTGATGGGTACACTTTTAATTTAAAATCGTGAAAAGCGGATCTCTAATAAGTTAAGACAATCCACTGAAAACAATTTTAAATTAAAAGGGTATTACCCTTAATCCAATTATGTAATGATGTCAAGTTATGCACGTGAGGATAACATGCAAAAATTGATTAAATAATGCCACACATTTAAATAAATATTTAAGTTTAAAATAATACATGCACATGTGCATATGACTATATCTTTTACAAGTATACTGATGAATTCTTAATATTTTAAAATTATTAAACCTATTATGGTCATATTAGCATGTGATAAATGGCTCTATGCTAAATCAATTAATAACTAAAATATAATACTTATCTAATTACTTGTGATATGCATGAGATTATTAAGGCCAAAAATAAAGTTTATACATATATAAAAAATTGTACCAGCACATACATTAAAATAAAATAAATGCAATTAATTATAAACAAAATAAAATTTACTGCCAATAACCATGCTTATACTCATTACTGCCATAAAGGATGAAAATTTAAAATACCAAAGTTAGGCAACCAAAATGTAAATTGGTCAGTAAATTAAACAAGCTTATTAAGGGACTAAATTATAAAAGAACAAAAATTACATGTTAAATGCGAAAATGAACAAAAATGAAAAATAACATAAACTCAGGATTAAAACAAAACACACTTACAATATAAAGATCAAATTAAAAACCACAAAAATATTCTATTTGAGGACTAAAATGTAACAGGTTAAATCTAATAGACCTCCAGTGCAATTAACCCATCTATCCTAAAACACGGGTTGTTCCCCCAACCTCAGTGTGTTGCTATTTTGGCATTGTCCTAAACGACGTTGTTCGAGCAGTCGTATATAAATGACATATTGGGTAAAATATCTTACCCTAGCCCATTTCTTCTCAGCCTCTCTTTGGCTAAACTTCTTTCCCCACCGCTCTCTCATTTTCTTAACAAAAGCCATGGCCACCGTGACCTTTACCCTCCCAACGAGCTCCGATGAAGAGCCCACTACAACAAATTTGTCAATTTATGACAAAATTTCTATATGATGTTACGTATATCGTCACAAAACATACTATAATGTGATGTTTTTTTATTTTCGTCATATTTATTGATTAATGGTATATCTTTTATGACAATATTAAAAATGGTCATTGATTTTTATCACTATATGTTTGGTTCCCACCAAATTTTTTTTGGTGAGAAACCTTTTAGTGATATTTAGATAAAATAATGACGTTGTAAAATCGTCTCCAATGAAAAACAGGTATTAGTGATGATTTATTATAGTGACGATTCAATTTGAATTAGTGGCGTTGCACATTCGTCACTAATAAGTTTTATTCGTGACAATTTAATTTGTCATATTTTATAAGACACTAAAAGTGGCATTTTATTATTGTCATAAAAAATAGTTTTAGCACGACGAAATCAATTATTTGTCACTTATTTTTATCTCTCTTTTTTATATGACGATTTTAAAAGACGTCATAAAATTATATCACTTAGGGTCCATTTAGTTAGGGAAAAACATTTTACGAAAAATATTTTTTCCGTTTTCCTATGTTTGGTTCATGTAAAACACGATGGTCAATGTATTTTGTTTTACAATCAACGAAAAAGTGAGAAGAAAACACGATAAAATAACTTTTAAAGAATGTCGCGATAAAGTAGTACTTTAACCCCTTTTTTTATAAAAATATCGTAATATATAATTCATTCATAGTGATTTTTAAAGAATACATTGACAGAATAATACTTTAACGGAATTTTTACAAATGCCACAATAGTTCAATGCTTTAACGACTTTTAAGTTTAAAAAGGCCGCAAATTTTAAAAAATTTATTTCCCTCTTACTTCAGCCCTATCTCACTTTTTTAAATCAAACGCCGCAAGTCTTTTGGACCCCCTAGACTAAATTAGGATCTTTCAGCTTTGCGTCTTTTCTTTCATGGTTTTTCTCAACAAAGCTACGAACTTCAATGGGGCTCTCCTTCAACATTCTTCTAACTCCTTTTTTTTCTTCTATCAATCCTGATTCTTTCTCAGGCCAGGTATAGTTGAAATTTTTATTTTTTTATTTCCATAATCATGTTCGATTTATTGTGGGTAAAGCTAGGTCACCCCTAGTCTTAGTTTTGACGTTCGCGAACGGTAATGGGGGCTCTCATTCAACTTTCTTCGAGCTCATTTTTTCTTCTCTCAACTCTAATTCTTTCTCAGGCCATGTATAGTAGAAATTTTTACTTTTTATTTTCATAATCATGTTCAATTTATTGTGGGTAAAGCTAGGTCACCCCCTTTTTTCCCTTTAATTTGAACATTCCTTCGTGTGTTTGTTAGAGGTTGTCATGTGTTTGTTGAAATGTCCAAATATGATATTCTTGTGGTGCTCCACTGTTGTTTCATTTTTTATCAGTTTTGTAACCTGCCTATGTCTAGGCAGTTTTTTTTTTTTTTTGTTGCAACAACCTCCATAGATTGAATTGGTTAATATTTTACCTTCAATAATTGAAGCTAAATCACATGTAAAAGGATAGAAGTGACAGTCAACCTTTTTAGAGAAAAAAATGAATGTCGTTTTGTGAGTATTGAGTCTGCTTGCTAGACTTTAGTGAAAGCAATGTGAAACACTTAACAAAAGAGTTAATGTAATACTTGCTGACGAGTGAAAGCAATGTGAAGCCTTTAACAAAAGAGTTAATTGAATATTAGGAAGAAAGAGATCAAGAATTTAAGGGAGTTCTTACTGCCAATATTTTCTCCCTTGTTGAAAAGTAGGTTCCGTTATTTTTTAGTCTTTGTATGCTATAATATTTGTAATCTTCTTATATATTATTTATGTTCTTGGCTCTGTATTTTCAGGTATCTTTTTGTTGGTGGAGGGATGCTGAAATATTTATTCGGAATTACTTTGGATTATTACCCAGTTGATTAACAATCATTTTTATTGCCTCAGGTTTGCCCCAAAGAGAATTTGGTACATTGATCAGATGCTCAAGGTTCTTTCTGAGGTATGATTTTTCCTCATTGCATTGTTTTATGATTGCACCTATTGTTGTCTTTGTTCATAGTTGGTGTTTCCAGCTTAATTGTTTAATCCTTCATGGGTTGCATTTTATATGTGGAATTTGTTTTCGTAAATGTTTATATGCTTACAGTTATTGGATTTTGACTTGAAGTTGTGTTTAGGTGGGTTGATTATGTTTCTATGTATTCATAATCAGTGATTTTCTTTCTCTTTTTTCTATGCTTATTAAATTTGAAGACAATATAGTTTCCACGACTTATGCTAAACGTTTCCAATTAATTTTACTATCATTCATCTCCATGGTGTAATCACGAGATAAGGCAAGTCTTACAAACCGGGATATCAGTATCATCGTTATCTCATTCGTTGAAATAGTTTTGTATGAGTTGAATTACTAGGCCACTTTACTTATTCCTGAAAAAAAAAATATTTAATTTGCAGTCTTACAAACCGGGATATATTGTGCCACCTCCTCCTCCTCCTCAGCCAGAGGTTACTACAATTGATATCAGGCAAGTCTCACAACCATGCACTTACCAATTGACCATTGTAGATATGATAAGATTAGTGTCTCTCAGACTTTGTTAGCCTTTTTTTCCCAGTTTTGTTATCAATGTGGGTGTTGTAACTGTAATTGAAACTTTGATATTTTCTTGGACCCTTTCTTGTTTGTGAGGATCTATGTCCGATCCTTTTTGGTGATATGAAGGATGGCTCACTATGGTTGCTAATCACCTTTGATCCCTTAGTTTCCTGTGTTTTCTATTGATACAATGAGTGGACAGTATCTGGTTCTTCGTTGGGTTACCAACGAATTTTAGCAGTAGCAGCAGAACGCCCTATTTTTGGGCAAGGCTATGATGAATATTCAGATAACGATTCTAGTGGAGCTGAATTTTTCTGCTCCTCTTCCCTTACTGTAAGCTTTAGTTTCCTCTATAAAAATAAAAAAATTTATCAATCCTATTTTGCTCTGACTCTTCATTTTGTTTGGATTATCCTAATCCAAAACTTGTGTCCGACACTTATTTGGATATGATATTCCAAGGACCATCCAAACAGTTGAGAAACTTGGAAACTATTTGATGCTTAAACACAAGTCCCAAGTAACAGAACCCCTTATTGGCTTATTTTAATTAAAATATTGGCGGTTGTATACTTTTATTTTCTTCACCATTTTTCTACAAGCAATAGATCGAATATCAATTTTCGAGCCATCTTGAGTGTTATGTAATGCATTATTCTATTGTACAGTTTGCCTCAATTTTTTTTCGCACTGGAAGCGTACTAGTCACGAACGTCATTTCCACTCGTAATTAAGGTTATCGAATATCAAGTTGAGCCCTATATCCTGAATTACTGTTTTTGCTTAGATGGAAAACATACATAATTTTGGGTTTCACTTCAATGAAACATTTATTGGGTCCAGGAATCACTGCTGATATCCTTGTTCTTATTCTGTTTAGATCTTATTTTATCCGTTTATTTGCAGATACTTGCTCTTCTATTCTTGAGGCATGTTTTGTACCTAGCCAGTGGAGACACAGACGATGAATTATCTCGATATATCTCTGTATGCATGGCTCGAATTTGCATTGATCTTTTTGTAATTCACAACTTTTAATTGTTCGATTCTAACTTCTCTTTCTTCTTTATTTTTTTCCATCTAGATTTCCCTCCTTCGTGCTACTGGCCTTCTCCCTTGTTACATTGTGTCCTGGACTATCAGCATATTGCAGCGCCGTAGGGAGCAACAGGTAACAGCTCTGAATTTTTTGAAAAATGATATCACTTAGTTGTGTCATGTTGATCTAGATCACAGGAGAATACTAAGAACGTAGATTCGTATTCGTTTTTCATGATATGTACTATGCATAATTGGTAAGGTTCGAGTCTTGTTAAGAATGTGTGTCCGATACTAATCTATATTTTTCTAATTTTTAATAATTATGTTTAGATATAGTGGAGGTAATTTTTCAACTTCCCTCCCATAGTTGTAAAAAGCGAGCCTGAGGCGCAAAAGCGCTGAGGCTCACTGAACGGGGCTTTTTCAACACTGAAGCGAGGCACGTAGCTTAGGCGCACCTAGGCGCAGTGAGGCTCTGAGGCGCGAGGCTCAGTCGAGGCGCAATTGAGGCACGATGTGGGATATCAGCCTGTTAATCGAACAAAGTTGATAAAAAAGAAGTATTTGTTTTGTTTACCTCATGGGCAGAACCTGTTCGATGGAATTCATCCTATCTAAAGGACCTTTATAAGAGCTTTGAACCTCGTTTTCCTCGCAATCTCCACCATCCGAGGATCTCCCATACTCCTCGTTGTCGTCATCGTTATTCCTCCCGATCGAAGACGACGTCGTCGTGGACGATGAACCTCCCCAGTCCTCTTCTTCTTCCTCCGCCTTTGGCAACCGCTTTCTTTCCTTCACCGTAGACGGCGGGGATTCGAAACTAGAAATATCGCAGGCACACCTCATTACGCGCCCAAACCCCGATGTTTCGATCCTGTCCAACGTGATCGACATGATTGAATCTTTAACCTTTCGGCACCCAAAACAGCAAACAAAAAAGGAAAAAAAAACACAGAGAGAAAGGGAATCCAACGCAGATATGAAAGAAGGGGATGAAATGGATATGGGGAATTGTTTGTCTGTTGTTGTTAATTATATCTTTATATATATAAATAAATGTTGAGGATTGAATTGAATAAAGGCAACTGGGGACTCTCATCTTCATCAACTCAATGTGAGTAACATTTCCTTTTTTTAGTTTGTTAATTATCTTTTACTCTCTTTGAGTTTTAAATTTTTTTGTCATCTAAAATTCGATTTGATTTTAAAATAAAAAAATATTTTTAATTTAAATAATATACATAATTCGATTTGATTTTAAAATAAAAAAAATTAATTTAAATAATATACATCGTGTCTTCTGAGAATCATTCAAAAATACTCATCTCTTCTACACTTCTTTTATATAATATTCACCCTAAATGAAAAATTAATCACCTTAATATATTATATATAAAATTATTTTTTAAGTATTATTTAAATAATTTTATCATTCCTTATAAATTTTATTTTATTCATTGATCTTTATTTCTCTTTTGTTTTTATTTTTTAAAAGTAATAACTATTAAAAATTTCCTATTATAAAATATATTTTTCAATTTTAAATTAACACATGATAATTAAACTAAAATCGTACGTATATAAAGAAAATTGAATGATATATTACAATTTTTTGGATATCATGCGCTACGCCTTCGTGAATCCCACGCTTTTCATGCGCCTCGCGCCTCAAGGCTCCAAGACTCTTTTGCGCCTCGATGCGTTTTGATCCTTTGATAACTTCCCTTCAAATAAAATTTACCTTCCCTCTAATAAAATTGAATATTCCTTATTTATAGCATGATTTTTTCTCTTTCATAATGAATCATTATTGCTTTCCTTATTCATTGATTTTCATTTTATAAAAGTATATGTGTATTTGATTTCCTTTAGGGTTAAGAATATTATCATAAACAAGTAGGTGAAATAAGAAAATTCTTTTCTATATTCTATATTGAGATAATTTTGCTTTATAGTTTATTATTTTTATAATTATTTTTTTGTTTTGATTTAGATTGTAATAGTACAAAGGTTTCTCCAACTTTAATTTGCAGGTAATTGTTTGTTTTCTTTTAAATTTATTTTCTTTGCTGTTAAATATGGTTTTTTTGATATTGTTGAATTCATATGGTTTAGGGTTAGTTTTATTATTCGATTTCTGATTTTTTGCTAAACGCTGCTGCTTTTTACAAAATAATTGTTAGTTTTTTCTTTTAAATTTTGCTAAAAGTTGCTGCTTTTATTATTCGATATTGTGCAATCTGATTGGAAAGCTCATTAAAAAACATGTGCATGTCTTGTTTCCTTTTTCACATTGATAATTCTTCATTTAATAAATTAATGTTGTTGATGTAAAATTTCACCATCACAAGGTATGCTCAAACTCTGCTATGTTTTTATGCTTCCTTTAGGTGCATGTGTTTGCGAATTTTGAATTTATATCCTTCTTTTTGTTTATGTTAATTTATTTACATTTCCATTTAAACTTATTGAAAATTTTTTATTAACATCATTTCAGTGTAAGTTTGTAAAATTATGCAATTTAGCATAATTATCAACGTAGTTAGATTGCAAATGAATCATTCTCTCAGTGTAATCGAACTGTTGTGTTTATGAATTAAGTTGCAAAATGCTCTGTCAGTGGAGAGCAGCTGTTCTATAATAATTGATGATTTTGGTTGTGGTTTAATGCGCCTTTTCAGTTCCCTCTAATATCTAAGAGCAATCGATTGCAAAAGCTGGTGAAAATATTTATAATAGTTTTTTTATATGTTTTAGGATGGCACCAGAAAAGGATTCGAACACAAGAAAATGAAACTCAAAAAGTCTCCAGTAAACTAAATCGAACCCAAGAATCTGAACCTCAACATGTTATTGATGCCACGAACTCAACATCAACATAATCACAACCGATTCAAGGTTTGGATTGAGATTGCTACAATGAAATATTCCACAAGTCATATTATTATTATATTATTTTTATTTTCTGTAAACATTTAAATATTTTTATATTTGTAGAAATGAAATTATTATGTATTTAGAGAAATATTTGTTTAAATCTTATTATTTTGCAATAAGTGAACTATTTTATTTTTTATTTATATTTGTATAAATAAATTTATTTTAATATATATTGTCATTAAAAATGTCATAGAATATAAATTATTTGTGTTTTGCTACAATATCTTTTTCGTCACATATAAATTGATTTTAATGCATTATTTGTGACAATATAAATTATCAATAACTAAATCTTATTTAATTTAGTGACGTAACCAACTGTCATAGAATATAAATTATAAAGTGACGTTATGCAAAAACGGCATTCATAATATTATTAGGTAACATTTATATTATGTCACTAAAAATGTGACAATATCTCTTTTGTCACATATATGTTGATTTTAATGTATTATCCGTGACGATATAAATCATCAATAACAAAATTTTACATAATTTAATGACATAATTTGTTGTCATTGAATATTAATTATATAGTGACGTTATATATAAATGTCATTCATGTTACTATTAGGTGACGATATACTACGTTACTATCAATGTGACAATTTTCTTTTCGTCACATATACAATGAAATTATTATGTTATTGGTGACGATATGATTTATTAATAATGAAAATGTACATCATTTGGTGACAAAAGTAATTGTCACTGAATGCAAATTAAACTGTGACGTTATCTATTAGCGTCACTATATATTTAACAATACATGACGATAACACATACATCGTTACTTTTGACATTTAGTGACACACTTAAAATGACGATCGTCGTGACATTGATTTCTACGTCACAAAATACATCTTACGACATAAATTGAAGTTTTAGTGATAATAATATAAATGACATTAATAAGAAATTTTTTTGTAGCGTCCATGCTCCGATGAAAACCCCAAACGCCTTAGAACACTCCCCTCTCACTCGAGACCCTAGACTTGATCCTTTCAAGATAAAAAAAAAAACCCCACCTTTCCAAAAACCAGACCCAACAGCTAACCTAAACCCTTAACCATTTTCTAAACCCGAAGCCCTCTGGTGATCAATATACTCATGAAAACAAAGCTCACACTCAGATAATAACTGGAAACACCCAAAAGATGATAGATTTACCTTAGACCTGAATGGGTTTTGGTTCCTAGAGAAGATGATGATGACCTCTAGATTGGGAAGGTAAGTTTTTTCCTTTCTTTTTTTTGGCTCATTGGTGATTTGGTCATAAATAGAAAAATTTAGGGTTTTTTCTCTCTTGCTACTAAATCGTTCTCTAGTTTTTTTTTGTTCATGATTTCTATTTGGTTGCTGGTTGATAATGGCTGATGGGATCTAGGGTTTCTCTTTGATTTTAAAATGTATATCCCCTGCCCTTCTCTGGTTCAATGATTTTTATCCTTTTCTCCCTTATTTGTTGCTAAAAATGGTTGCTAATATCTGTTGATAAAATCTCCTTTGATGTGCTGGCCTCTCACATGGCCAAGGAATATTTTTGGTTATTGTTTGTTGCAGGTACACATCCAAGTGGTTGTATGAACGGGACAGCTGTCCTGTACGGCTTTTTTTTTTTGGTACAGTTGAACAAAGCAGTAAACTGACCTGTACGGCTTTGGTGCATCTCATCTGTGATATCTATTTGCTGGATCCGGCCACTCAGAGAGATGAAGAGTCTTAGGGTGCACCACACATGCCAACTCGAAGATCTTCAAAATGTTGTTAGCTGTTGGATCTTAGAGCCAGATCCAACGGCCAAAACTCGACTGCGTATGGGACTTTAGGGTTTAGAAAACCCTAAATTCGTCATCCTTGATCCTAAGCCATCGGATGAAGACTCCCAAATCTGATGGTCCATATGATGCGACGCTGGGAGTTTGTAACAGAAAACCCTAATAGGTTTAGGGTTTCTATAATTAGGCTTGTAACATCCGGGTCTGGCTGCTCCGACTTGGGCCTGCAATTGTTTAAATTAGGCGTGGGTTGGGTTTTCTATTGATGTAGGCCTGTAATAAGAAAGAAATTAATAAACTTTAGTACTAATATTATACATATATATTATATTATTTAATTATTTATTTGTGTATATATATTAATAATTACATAATATCCTATATATAACCAAACCTATAGATATAATATAATTAATAATAATAAACCCAAATAAATTCAAATAACACCCCAGACAAATTGAGTATCTACACCACTTGCTGTGAAAAGGTCTATTTTCCTAGGAGAAACAGAAGAAAGGTGGGTTGGAATGGTGGGATTTTGTCGGTTATTGGATAAGGAAACGAGCCACGTGACGTGAGCCAAGATGCATCGAACTGTAGATGAAGTCGACGGCGGGTATTATATTAAAAACCTCAAATAAATAATTATTTAAAGAAATAAGATTTTTCAGAAAATATTTGAAAAAATAATCCTAAATCATCCACATAAGACTGTCTCACGACCTGCAAATAGCGTGTTAAATCTTTGCACCTTCTAACACAATAGATACATTCGACGTGGGCGGACTTTCCAAATATGCCAATAAAAGAATTAGATAAAATGACCTCGCTCGTTATGAAGTGCGAGGTAGCCTGGAAACCAAAATATCGGGAGATTTATGAGGGAATTCGCGTCCTGCAACGCACGAGGAGCTTTCAAATTGAAATTAATAACATATAAATATAATAAATAACATAATAATAATTAATAGTATTAATTATTAAATATAATAAATAATTAAAATATACTAATAAATAAATATAGTAATTAAAATAGATATTTTATAAATAATAATTATAATATATTTTGTAAATTTTGAAATAATGAAAAATTATATGTATAATATATTAAATATAATTAATAATTAATAATATTATAATTATAATATATTTTGAAATTTATAAGATAAAAGCTGGTATTAAAGTAATCTCGCGCCTTGCAAACCGTGAGGTACTGGAAACATAATAAATTTCGCGTGTTTTCAACGTAAATCTCGTCTTGTAGGACGCGAGATATGTAAAACCGTGTTTCTCCAAGTACGAGAAGACCTATAAATATAATCTTCATTCATAATCACCATCACATCCATCGGTTTGTTATCATCTAAATTGTCATCTAAATTGACATATTATGGCGACAGGTTTATTAAGACATGATCGAAGTCACGTATTCGATTATTAAAGGTGAAATAATGAGGTAAATTAATTAATATTATTTTATATTTTTAGTATTTATTTATTTGTTTGTTTAGTTTTATTTTTTTGTATTTAAATAATTTTTTAATATTTATTTTGTAGGGATATGAACGTGTATTAGTGTCATATAAATCGTGTGACAACGCCCAATACGAATATTATTGACTATTTACATTTAGCGAGTTTCAGATATATCAGTAGTATAACTGGTGATGGTGTGAAGTCGCATCCTCCACTTATAATTGCGTTGGTGGAAAGATGGAGTCAACTATTACCCTACAAGATGTTGCATTTCATCTAGGACTGCCTATTGATGTTGTGTTTCAGTCCGCATATACTATGATAATAACGCTAACAAGGAAGTTAACGTATAACAAGTTAATGAAGGAATTGAAGAAAAATGTCCCACATGCTCGCGCTACAAAATTGTTACCCTTGAAATATCGACTACCGACGTCGTTAAAACCATTAACGTATATGATATACACCGTTGAGGACAATGGTGATGTGTAGTTGATGGTCGACACTCACTTGCAATATTCATTTGGAGGGCCGATGGAGTTGTATGCATTGTTTTCTGATGCTGATGATGGTACCAGTGTGCCAAGTTAGAGACAAGCGGAGATCGATTTTGACCCAACTGTTCATAGTTCGATGACAAATTTGGAAAACAACTTCAATTTATTAAGCACACACGGTACATAGAACGATTTAGGTGTATCATCATCTTCAATGCCAAGGCAGCGTTTCTAGATTCGAGTTTGACTTGAACATGGCACTAACGCCTATTTCCACGTACAATCCATACAGTACGTATGAGCATGTGTCGTCTTCTCAACACGCCAATCTGTGATCGTACCATGAAACATTTAACCCATTCGATGTTTAACCTATTCGATGATTTCTCATCTGGACGATATTCAATGTATATCCCTTCTGCGGATAACGTCTCAACACATATGTGGAGACATTTTTTTAATGGCGTGCTCGACTTTGATCTTGGAGAACCGGTTTGTGAGAAGTCTCGTGATCGGTGAACACTTGCAACAACGACTAACTTTGATTTAAACGAGTATAAACTATTCCGCTTTGAGGGGGATCATTCTGATGAAGAACCGGTAAGAGAGCCAAGCCCCAATGGTAATGAGTTAGGCCCCTTCTATGAAAAACCAGAAGACCTTGACATGCCACCAGAAGCAGAAGACAACGAAGAATACGATGCGACTATAACGGTTCCACATACTTCCACGTCTATTTCTTATTACCAGCCACCATCACACTTTACAACAATTGATATGGAAGCATTTAACACTCCATAATTTTCCCAATTCCCACACATTGAGCAATACAAGCTGTGGCTTCAATCAAGAACTACAACACACGTCGCTCTGTCACGTCAATGGTGAAAAAAATTGATGCGGATAAGTACAACGTTAAATATATCCACAAGAAGAAGGGATGTAATTAGAGGGTTTGTGTATCATGATTGAAGACAATGAACAACCTTTGGAAACTCATAAAATATATCAAACCACATACATACATCGCTAACATCCTGAATCAAGATCATCGTAACTTGGATGTGGGTGTGCTTTTTGAAGCCTTCATTCCGCTGCTCAAAGCAAATCCACGTGTTACGGTTGGAACCTGTATTGCTTAAGTTACATCGTTATAAGGGTAAACAGTTGACTACCACAAACATGGTATGCAAGGTATCGGCCCCAACAAAAAATTTTCGACCAATGGGAGGAATCATTCAATGAATTGTGTCCATGGCTTAAACTAATACAAAAAATACATTCCAGGAACAGTTGTGAAATTGGAAACAGTCCTGGCGTATGAAAATGATCGTGTCGTACAAGGTGTCTGCCAATTCTACTGGCTCTTTTAGACTTTTCTGCAATGCATTAATGCATTCCGACACTGCAAGTCGATGGTTCAAATCAACGACACTTGGTTATATGGCTGATACACTCAAATAATGTTATTGGCGGTTGCACAAGACGACAACAAAAAAATATTCTCATCGCCTTCGTAATTGTCGAAAAAGGAAGATATCGACTCTTGAGAATTCTTTCTTATGAACTTACAAACATATGTTCTATCACATGTGATGCAAGATAGAGATTATGGGAGTTGTCTTATTTCTGACAGAGGCACTAGTATCAAATACGCACTTCAGCATATAGGCTCGTCTTGCCAACCCCCCAATATTTATCATCGGTATTGTTTACGACATATTGCCGCAAACTATTTGAAGAAGTTCAAGAGCGAATATGAGCGCCTAATGGTTCTTCAAATGGGTACATCTTTCACCCTTTTCGGTTTACCATATATTTTCAAAAATTCTTTCAAATTATTCTTCCATTTTTTTTTATTGATATGTCACATACAGTCCGTACGTGAGTTTAAGGCCCTGCTGCAGGAAATGAGACACATGAATTCTGATGGCTACAAATACCTTGATAGAATCCTAAAGGACAAATGGCTTCGATAATTTGATGGGGGTAGACGGTATGGTCACATGACAACGAACTTGGTTGGGGCAATAAATTCATCACTAAATGGAGTATGATATTTTCCTATCACATCCGTTGTCAAAGCGACATATTATCGATTGAAAATCATTTTCGCAACCTTGGGAAGGCAAGCAGTTAACTGGATGGTAGGTGGTCATCAAATCCACCTAGATCTCCTCGGGAAATTGCAAACATTCCAACGATATGAGTGATATATGTTTTTCTCGCGAAATGTCATTACTCTGTGTATCAAAATTTACGAGGCCATTGGAAGGTATACAACACAACACATACATGGTTAATTTACGAGAAAAAACATGCGAGTGTGAATTCTTTCAAACTTTCAAATACTCATGTGTGCACACATTATTGCTGCTTCTTCTGTTCGGATACCCTACATGAGATTCGATGATCGAGTTTACTTACTTGAAATTATATTCATTGTTGATGAATATGAGTTCCCTCCCATTGGAAATGAATGGGATCTGGATGAAACTGATGATGAACCTACAATACGTCCAGATTATGCACTACGAAGAAAAATATTCGGTCTTCCACGGTTAACCCATATTTTTTGTGACGAGGATATGGTCGAACATCAAGAAAGAACCGGACAACCGAAATTATGCTCTATTTTTAGGAATCCTAGATATACTAAGAACATCTGTCCCAATTGCTCAGGCCCACATATCAATTAAATGAGCTTTTTGTATTATTTCTTTTTTAATTAACAACAAATATTACTTAGTTTTCAATTTCTTTTGATTTCTTCATGCACCAAATCATGCATTCCAACCTTTTTAACATGATTTTTATCCCCATTAAAATATTTAGTATGTGGCCAAATTAGCCTCAACATAAATATAAGTTGCAATACTATACCTCTAAGCATATAAATTCTGAAATCACCCCTATTTACAATACATGAATAACACTCCAATATGTCTATCAAACCATTTTTTGTTATTCCTTCACAAAACGATGATTTCTAACCATTTCCAACATCATTTTTACCCCTCTTAAAATGTTTCATATATGATGATATTATACTCACCTTAAAGATAAATTGCAAAACTACGCGTTTATAATTAAAAATTAAAAAAAAATCAAAATATATTTTTTCCCGTTAGTACCTCGCGGTTTGCAAGATGCGAGATTATTGTTTTTAAAAATTAATACCAGATTTTATCTTATAAATTTCAAAATATATTATAATTATAATATTAGTAATTATTTATTATATTTAATATATTATACATATAATTTTTCATTATTTCAAAATTTACAAAATATATTATAATCATTATTTATAAAAATATCTATTTTAATTACTATATTTATTTTT